TAGCTTCATAGGTGGCCTCAAAGGAGGCACGAACCTTGCAGCTCCATGTTTATGAAAGGTCCCCTCGTCCGGTGTCGGGTGCTTTACTGGATCTTTTCTTCTCGGTGGTAAATGATCATGGTAAAAGATTAGCCCGGGATCATGGATAAGAGGAAACATCTGAACCACCTCAAGGATGTAAGGCTCTTGATTCTCGACATTCTCGACTGCTGGTTGTTCGATCTCGGATAGAAGAGATTGATTTGTCATGCTCAGGGCAATTGATGGAGCTTTTAAGTAATTTTCACTTTCAGGCAGGCTGTTATCGGGGGCCCCGATAACAGTAGTAAATGCTACCAGGTTTTTATCGGGGGGAATGATAACAGCGGAAATTTGCTCCTCATTCCCTTCTTTTTCATTCTCTTCGTCGTTCGGCTCAAAATTGCATTCGTCTAGCACCTCAGGCTCCGTGTCGCTGCACATCCTAAGGTCTCCGACATCACTTTGGCTCGGTTCGGCTTGAAATAATAGTCGACTCTTGGCTCGGGCATCCAATTCGCTCAAAACATCACCAATCGCGTTGCTACTAGCCATCAAAGAATTTTGACACTCCTTAATTAAGTTTATCAAAGATGGACTAGCCTCTTCTTCAAGCGAATGTTCTGGAAAATATTGTGAGCCTTCATAGTGGAACTGAGAGTCATCAAGCTCATAATTAGGCTCATACGATCGAGAGTATTGTGAATTTTCATAAAATGAATTTCCACGATCTCCCCAACCGTAATGGTCCTTAGCAAAATTCGAGTACGCCCAATCATCTCGTCGATACCAGTCTCTCTCGTTAGCTCTACGTGCACCATACCTCTCAAACAAAAATGGACAATCATCGGTGACGTGTCGTGTGGTATGACATAGACGACATGGTCTCCTTAAAGCTTGACGAACACTCTCAATGGCTTCTTGAATCATAGCCGACATCTTAGCCTCACGATGTCGGTCTCTTATTTCCATCCTTTTCATTTCATAATATGTATCTTACGCATAAGCACAATCCGGGCTCCAATAAGCTTCCATATCGAATGAATACCACCTGCAAAAAAACAAAAAAAATGGGGGATTAAAATAATCAAAGGAAAAAAAAAAGAAAATAAATACTAATCTAATTACCTAATTCAATTAACACTAAAAAAAATCACAACTCAATTGCGCCACTCCCCGGCAACGGCGCCAAAATTTGACCGCGCGTCGCAACACGGTAAATTTAAGTTTATAAAGTTTCCTTAACAAACCTCTACCAACTAGTAGTAGCGGCGAGTAAGGGTCGATCCCACGAGGAGCAGGAATTAAATTGTGACAAATTTGGTATTAATTGAACTAAACTAAGAACGCAGTAAAATGGGGGGTTTGGTTTATAAAAATAACAAAAGAAAATAAAATAAAAAACAAATAAAATGAGAGAAGTCCAGTTTTTGGTTCAGTTATCACCCAATCTAAATTTACCGTTAATCAATTTCGACGCTTTCTTTAAATTTGCTAATGAATTACCGACCCTAGCTAACAACAAGCTCTGTTAACCGAATTTTCCCTTACCGATTATTTAATCGGAATAAGCTCTTCGACTAAACCTAACTAGTAGACAACCTAGAATAAGCTCTCTAGATTTAATGCACTAGCATCATTAATTACTAGAAAAATAGATCAGTCTAAGCAACGGACACAAAAGCTCGGACCATTTAACTTATGTTCACGCTACCCTAAAGATGCACGACCCCTAGTTTACTACTAACGAAACGAGACAATAACAATTACGTATTAAAGTCACGATTCTAGCAATTAAACTATGAATATTCAACCTAGTTGGCCAAACTAAATCAAACAACATAATTCATAAACATTATAAACAGATAACATGAATCAACTCATCAACAAAAATAAGTACGACATCTAGATTAATCAACGATAAATTCAAATCCTTAAATTCGTAGACAAATTCAAGTTAGGGTTCAAACATCCCCTAAAACTGGATAAAAATCTAGCCTAGCATACTAAGAAAATAAATAAAAGATAAAAAAAGAGAATAGAATTATCCTCTCGTGTGCGGTGCGGCTTCCCTCCGCGTGTGATTTCTCTTCTCCTGTGCGTGAATTCTTTTCTCGCTGGTCGCAACGCTGTAAATTTTGATTTATAAAGTTTCCTTAACAAACCTCTACTAACTAGTAGTAGCGACGAGTAAGGGTCGATCCCACGAGGAGCAGGAATTAAATTGTGACAAATTTCGTATTAATTGAACTAAACTAAGAAAGCAGTAAAATGGGGGGTTTGGTTTATAAAAATAACAAAAGAAAATAAATTAAAAATCAAATAAAATGAGAGAAGTCCAGTTTTTGATTCAGTTATCACCCAATCTAAATTTACCGTTAATTAATTTCGACGCTTTCTTTAAATTTGCTAATGAATTACCGACCCTAGCTAACAACAAGCTCTGTTAACCGAATTTTCCCTTACCGATTATTTAATCTAAGCTCTTCGACTAAACCTAACTAGTGGACAACCTAGAATAAGCTCTCTAGATTTAATGCACTAGCAGCATTAATTACTAGAAAAAATAGATCAGTCTAAGCAACGGACACAAAAGCTCGGACCATTTAACTTATGTTCACGCTACCCTAAAGATGCACGACCCCTAGTTTACTACTAACGAAAAGACAATAACAATTACGTATTAAAGTCACGATTCTAGCAATTAAACTATGAATATTCAACCTAGTTGGCCAAACTAAATCAAACAACATAATTCATAAACATTATAAACAGATAACATGAATCAACTCATCAACAAAAATAAATACGGCGTCTAGATTAATCAATGATAAATTCAAATCCTTAAATTCGTAGACAAATTCAAGTTAGGGTTCAAACATCCCCTAAAACTGGATAAAAATCTAGCCTAGCATACTAAGAAAATAAATAAAAGATAAA